GACCCTGACAGTCCTGCAGTACTCACTCCAGCAGTGCTACTAACGCAGAAGATGAGTGCTGTGTCCGCCCCACTTGGGAATTTCTCATCAGGGCAGCTGTTTGGGAAACAATGGAAACATGTTCAACTCCTCGCTGACACCTTTTGGAAAAGGTGGAAGGGAGAGTATTTATCCACCTTACAAGGCCGTGCAAAATGGACAGAGACTAGACCTAATGTCAAAATAGGAGATGTGGTCCTGCTAAAGGACCCCCAAGCCAGCAGGAACGAATGGCCCATGGGACTAATAGTAAAAACATTCCCCAGCAGCGACAAGAAGGTCCGAAAAGTGGAAGTGCGGACTCTAAAAGATGGGACTGTTAAAATGTTTCTCAGACCAGTTTCAGAGATTGTTGTTTTGCTTGCAGAGACTGAATGAATATTCTTCAATGCTAGATGATGTTTGAATATGTTGTATTGATGTTTATTGTGATATAATGTGTGTATATCAAGCGGGGAGTGTTATGCCCTTGAGTCAAAAGTCAGCGGTTGGTGTGTGTGCTGATTGAGCCACATAAGCAGAGTGATAAATAAGCTCAGAGTGAGACATAATTTCCACAAGAGATCTTTGTATCCTATGTGCGGAAATGGAGCGAGGGAGCGTCCTGTTCACTAACCTATCTTTGATGTACCCTTTCGCTTATGATGTCGTGAAAAAGTGCTCCGGCAGTTATTAAATAGGGACTAGTTCATGTTCACGCTAAGAGTGCTCTACACGTTCGCACCTCGGAAAACGTTCGTCTTTTTACATAAAAACAAGAAAGTCAAGCCTTGTGTGGAAGACCTCTTCTATTTGTTCGCTAGCTGTCTAACCTCACAGGGTCACGTGTCGTGAGGGCAGCATACAGGCAGATGCCATTAAAGCACACATGTGGAGATAATGTGAAGAGCACGAACTGAAGAAACATCAAACAATTATTATTCTGTCTGTTTAGTGGACGGTGAGAGGGCCGGCTCAAGCATAAATGCTGCCCAGGTTGTTGGTGAGGGTAACGCGTCTTTGACTCTGACCACGCTGAAGGTTGGAGATGAGGGGACCTACATCTGTACAGTCAGTCTTGGTCCTTTCCACTCCCAGCAGGTCATTCAACTTCGCATTATTCGTAAGTTTCACTCTGATCTTAATCCTCAGCCGCTGTTATCTTTGATATTCTGTTAATTCTTCTCTCTTACTTTCCCCCCATAGAACCTCCAGATGTTTCCCTCTCAGTGGAGAAGTTGGTTTTAAAGTCAAGTTCGTCCCAGAAATTAAGTTGTCACAGCAGTAAATACTACCCACTGGATTCTCACGTCAGTAACTGTGTTTTGAGATGTAACTGTTACCCATTACTGTTTTGTAACACCATCCTTTTAAACACCAATCTTATTAGTAACTTTAATATATTATCAAGTTTATGAAAGGAGATTTTTTTCTCAATCAGAAAGAAATAGAGGAATTTAATAGAGCAGTTATTGCAGGCCTAAAACCAGCCTCTCTCTCAAAGTCTCTCTAAGGACGCCTGAAAGTGTAGATATTTTTAAACGTACCAATGCTCTTCATCTTGTTAATCAAAAGTGTCTTTATTTGCTGTTTTAATAATAAGTTATCTTCCATATTTATTCATTTGTGTCCTTTTGAATTGCACTAGCTCCTAAGGCTACATTTAATTGAATGACAGGTCATAATTCTCTGCTCTTTTCTGTTTTTTAGATTGAGTGGTTTTCCCTCTCTCCTACGGACACAGACCCACAGCTCTTTATAGATCAGGGCTCCCTGTCCAGTCATCGGCAGCACGGTGATGGAACGTTCACCCTGTCCTCTCACATAGCTGTGCCTCCCACCACCGTCCCAGGAACCAAAATCATCTGCAAGGTCTCCCACACAGCTCTAGAAGAACCGCTCTTTGTTAGTGTGGTGGTGGAACCTCCTGAGCCTAGTATGTATATCTATTTAACACTTTTTAAAAAATATTTTTTTTACCATTATCAAAGGGTTTTCATTATCTTGCTGAGAGTGGAATATAAATAGATGACAAGTCTGACATTGCTATTTTTATATTTTTCTATAGAAAACAACTCTGGTTCGGTCCTGAGCTAACAAAATCCTACAGTGGAAGTTTTGGTTCAATCATATAGAAACTGGCAGTTGTAGTTAAACCAGGTGTTTTCCACATTTTCAGTTGGCATTTGGGGCCTTGACGTGTTACAAATGTAACAATTTACAGATCACTTTTAGCACCCTTGATGCACAACACTTTGGTTGACTTTGTGGATGAATTCAACGTGACAATTTATTTCAGAAACAGTGTAAACATTTTTTTTCTATTATGAGGGTGATTGTATTTATGTCTGATGTTAACCTTATCCACAAAACCTTTGTGTGTCTCCGCAGATTCCTATTGGTGGATACTGGGCTTCCTGATCATCACTGTACTTTTCTTCTATCAGGTCATGGGATAAATTTCACTTACATCATCGTGACTGGAGACTAGAAAGTTTCTTTGTGTCATTTTAGTGTTTAAGTTATTTTTTTAGGTATTCCACTGGTTTGTTCAACTCTTCCAGCTTTCTAGAAACTGAAAAACAAAAGTATAGAATAAAATTAGTCTCAGGAGGTTTACAAATGTGTACAATGTGATCAACAGGTGTATACTAAAATTTATAAATGTGTACAATGATTTGTAAGTTTTGAAGACTCACATGCTCTAATCCACACACAAATACAGAGGAATTGGAACACATGGAAAACTAATTTACAAATGGATATATCAAACCTGAATAAACAGTCAGGATTTTTACACAAATTTTACAGTTCGACTTTATAAATTTGATAATTTGTACTTTTAGAACGTTTCCTGTAACATTCTTTATATTCTCACGTACAGATCATTAAATATGCATGCATGAATCCTCTGATATGCACAGTGAGGGTTTGAGACTTCACATTGTGATGTTCACATAGTCCCACAAATGTAAGCTGTGTTCAAGTGCTAGAGAAAACAACTGGTACATCTGGGGTTCCAGTGGATTCATATGTGTGCTTGTTTTAGTTACTATGGATTATGTAGGGTGGAGAGACATCTCTATGGCTCGTCCTCTGAGGTGAATATATGCTGACAATTTCTTGTATATTTTGATTATATATGATTAAGTTGATATGGATAACAATCTAGGTTACTATATGGCATCTATGTATGTTTCCTAGTCCAGTATAATGAGCTGTTCTGTTTATTTATGTGTGGATCGAGCACCCAAGTAGTGAAAATTTTAATCATTGTGCACATTTGTAAATCTTAATTTACGTTTAATTTATATATCATTTGTAAACATTTGGGAAAAATTTTGCTCCGTACAAAAAACTTTTTGGGGGGGTGAAAGCTATGCATATGGTAACCGATCTATTTATGACATAGCTGTGAAATTTCTATACATGATACATTTTTTGTTTATTATTTTTAATACCAACCTATTTTTGCACTATGCAAGTTTGAAGCTTGCAATATGCTAAATTGCATTAAAACCCACAGATCACATCCCAAACTATGTTATTCACCAACAGTACAAATTTTATTCATATACGATAACACTGCAATTATACAGTAGCAAACTCCCTTACATGGAATTATTCCCTTCACAGCTTTCAGTATGGTTGTTGTCAGGGGGCCTGTTGTTTGCAGGTAGAAAATAATGGTGTGTAGGGGCAGTAGGCGTTTTCATCTTCTGCAGACATGAAAGGTCCACACGATTTGTATTTGAAAGCAGCTAATAGCCCAATTGCACTATGAGTATTTATTACCTGAGACATGGTCTCTGTAATATTTTTGTAAACTATTTACTTTATGTTTTTTCCCAGGAGCCCACAAAGGCCCAGAAATTATTTTTTTAAAAGAGCAACAATATTGAAAGCACCTTAAATGAACATAAAGTTGTTTTTCCTTGAATGTAAAATTATGCTTTGAGTATTTGGGGCTTATTTAGACTTTTTTTTTTTTGATCAATATAAAGTGGGAAAGGGTTTTTTTTTCTGTGTCTCTACTGAAAAATTGGTATGACTATTTAAACAATCACAGCCTCTTAAATCCCACGTACCTGCTGAATTTACTGTACATTCAATCATTTAGAAGCCTGGCAGAACTTTGTTTTATATTCTAGTGGAGATCCTGATGCTCCCTGTGACATTTAAGGAGGATGGAGTGATGCTACCATACAAGCCTTAGTTTGAATGTGTGACTTGGTGTGTAACTTCAGTGAAAAATGGTACATAGACCCAATAAATGTAGATTATTATACTTAAAGTGGGAATTTGAGAAGGTTTTTGTTATACTTCTTATTTTTGGTACTATATATTTGTTTTATCCTCCCTTCAGTTTTTGTATGATTTTATTTTATTTTATTGTACCTGTAATATAGAAGGATTATGTGATACTGTGACAATGGTTAAGGAATTTCCATTGATCAATCTTTGTACATTGTGGAATTGATTGAAGTCATTAAAAAAATACATCATCATGAAATCATGCTTTTCATGATGTAATTCAAAATGCTAAACACTCATATCCTTTACCACCAATGACTGCATTGATGTGGACGTGGCTTGTCTGTATATTTGGCTCAGGTGTTTATCTTCAACTTAACAATACTCCAAAGATTTTCGGTGGGGTTCAGGTCAGGCAGGTTGGTCAACAAACCATTTTGTAGTAGTTTTGGTACTGCGAGCAGTTGCAAAGTCCTATTGGAAAAGAGAAAAGGCATGTCTATTCTCTTCTGTTCATCCTTGTCAGAATCGCAGGGAGGCTGGAGCCTATTCAGCTACCATAGTTGTTGGGTACAGCCTGGACAGGGCTAGCACGGAAAGACAGGCAGCCATTTACACTCACACCTATGGACAATTTATACTCACCAAATTAACCTAACCCCAATAATTACATGTCTTTGGACTGTGGGAGGAAGCCACGTGGGAGAATCCTCATAAACAGAGAGAGAACATGCAAACTCCACGCAGAAGATCCCCGGTCAGACAGTGGACTCAAACCCAGATCCTGTGAGGCAAGTGTTAAAGAACTGGAAAATTGACTTTCATCTGACAAGAGGACTTCGGAGCAACAGTCCATTTCTTCTCTTTTTACCAGAAGACCAAAAAGACACTTTTGACATTGGAACTCATTTCCTAAAGACATCTGTGTGGTGAAAGAGACCTCCATCCACTCCTTGTGAAGCTCTTGCAGGTTTTTGAACCAACCTTTCTTAACAATCCTCTCAAACCTGGAGTCACCTCTGTCGCTTTTGCCACAATTTTCCCTTGCAGTCAATTTTCTATAAAGATGCTTCTTTACAGCACTGTGTGAACAGCCAGCCTTTTCAGCAGTGACATCTTGTGGCTTGCCCTCCATATAGAAGCTGCTCATGATCATCATCTGGACAACAATCACGCCAGCAATCTTCCCCATGATTGTGGTTGTGTGTATTGAACTAGAGCAAAAGATGCATATTATTTACCGTATACTGTGTGACTAATAATTTACTCAAACTCTAAATGAAATATTCTAATAATTTGTGAAAGTGGATTTCTGATTTTTGAGACCTAAACATCAAAAGTAAAACGATAAAGGCTTAGAATATTACAATTAATGTCAAATATATAAAGAAATTAAATTATGAAAATTTTGATTTTGTTGAGGAAAAAACTTTTCATTATATTCTTTTAGTTTTTTAGATGCTATAACACAACCAAAGGATACAATCAAAGTCAGTATGTAGTCACTTCATGATTTCTTTATTGGCATCAGCAAAAAGTGGTAAACATGCATTTGTTCTCCTAAATCCAGTTGCATCTCTTCCAGTAGTTCCAAGTTGTAAATCACAAAACATCTTCTCATGAACCATGTTAACTATCTAATAATATTACTGCACATTATCATTAGATAATTTTGGCTAACCGCTACAATTATGCATAAATGCCCTTTGCATTTTATCAACCCTGAATATCAGTCCAAAGTAAGGAAAATAAACTTCATATCCTACAGCCCCTCAAAAAACTTGAAAGAATTTATAAACCTGTTTTCAGGAGCGTAAACTGACAGATGTGTACTATAGTTCTACTCATACAACACGAATAATACTAAGTTTTCATTTTTCACTACAGTAGCAGTTTGTTTGCAGTCTCTGGATATTATTTTACTGTCCAACACAAGTGATCTTAACAAAATGTTGGCAAACTCTTGAGCATTGTTGCATTGCATAAGCAGTAATTATCAGATCAGAAAGACATTGTACATAGGTCCTTTAAACCACTAAGAAAAAAAATGTACAGTCGGCAGTAAGGTTCAGAAATGGCAGATACACAGGTTACACAAGAAGGCAAAACTACGGACACCGTTTGCCATGCAGGTTAGAAACAAAAGCTTCACACTGGCCGTTATCATACTGTCGATGACAGATGGGTGCTTTTATGTGAGTCAGCAGTGACGGTGGGACGACCAGGTGGCTCAGGGTTTCCAAAATCATATCCTCTTTCCTCTTTTCCTGCTTTCTGGACAACTTAAACAACAATTAAACACTTTGACAGCACAACTCTCAAAATAACTATGTGTCTGTACCTGTTTGAAATGTGGCGCTACACATTCATCTGTCTATGGCTGGGACTCTCTGCAAATCAGAATTAAGAGGCCTTCCTCTGGACTGAAGCAGTTAGTTCATGTATTCGTTAGATTGTCTGTAAGTGCCTGCTCGTGTGACTTAATTGCTGTGCATATTATTACTAAAATGCCACCTCTATGCCTGTGGTATAAACATTCTGCTTTTTCAGTCCAGATTTAAATTTTTACCTATTTATGCAGTAGAAATGTGTTGCAGTACTCCTACTACCTTTCCCTGAATCACTTCCTCCTTTCCTAAACTCTCACACAGTCTCTTTCCCTATTTTGCATTTCTCTTTTCTTGTTATCACTGGAGGTTGCAGAAAAAAAAGACTTAAGTGAGTGAAAGTTAGACAGGAAAGGGAAAAAAATACCAATCAAAGCCTACCAGGTAAAAGTGGAAGAAAGCTTTTAGCTACAATGCTTTGGATCACAGATACACACAAGCACAAACAACAGAAACTAGCATAATCTTAATCTAACATGACCTTGTGTTAGTAAGTAGCAACTGTGGAAGTAGCAGACAGAAGATGTGTATTAGTTATGCATGTCAGTATCAATTTACAAATGTTGAACTCTCAAAAAAACGTCATATGAATAAGCTTTGGCGTACTCGGTGTAGAAAGACTCTTCTGTACACCCCCCACCAGCGTGCTTAGCCCCACGTGTTCTCCCTCTACCTTCTTTCCTTTTCTTCCTTCCTTCCTCTTTTGACTCTGCCTGCTGTGTCCTTCAATAATACATGAGGTGCAGAGGCAGCGGAGAGTGAGCAAGAGTTCAAGTCAAAACAGTGGAAGAAAGCAGCAAGGAAAGGGAGGGAAAGAGGACGAAGAGAGCAGAGACATCTATAAACACTAATGTAATGTTTAAGTGCAAGATGGTTTGATGGAAGACTGTGTGAAGAGAGGAAGGAGAGGACTGACAAAATTGAGGAGCAGCGCTTGGGTTTCTTTTTTTGCCTCTCCCCTCTCATATTATCCTCAAGTCCATATTCATCTGTACTGATGAGCTGAGCTCAGTGGAAGAAGTATACTGTGAATTAAAGAGAGAGGGAAAGAAGTAATTAGTTTAATGGGTCTGGCAACACGTCATTAAAACTAAACGGGCAGAGGACACACTGACCTCTCCTTATGCAGGAATGTGGGGTTGTTAAAGGCGAAATAATATTATGCTGGTGTTGTCTTATATGTATAATATTGATGGGGGTTTTTTTACATTAATAAAAAAACCCATCAGTATCAGTTCTAACACTGATGTATTAGTGATTTCTAAATTTCTCACGTGTGCAAGTGGAAATAGCCATGCTGAGTGGGAAGTCGACGCATGATGATTATCTACATTTTGAAAGTAATCAGTTAATTGTGGAAATTTTTGCATCGGTGTCAGAATGAAACTACTTACAGAATATGATTCCAACCACAATAACTCCAATGATACCCATCATGATCATCATCTGAAAAAAAGAGATGAAAATTTTAGACTTCATCCTTTTACAGAAGAATACACGAAGCTGTGTTTTTAGGGTTTCACTATGTTCAAACAGAATAGAAACCAATCTGAACCACAAAACAAAACAATTATGACACTTAAAAGGCTCTTTGTGTTTGTTGTGGCTTAGTTATACAATCCCCTCAGTGTTTAGAGTGAAAACTCCACAATAGCAGATGCCTTTCTCCCATTTCCCCATGAGGTATCACTTCAGTGCTCTACAGCAGCTCATTAACAAATTCCTATGTTGTCCTCTATTCTCTCTGCATGCCAGAACACATACTAATAGGAATTTGTTCATTCTAAGTCAGATGATACCATAGGTTTCTCTCTGTTTTACCAATCTGTGTAAAGGAGCCACAGTAATGCGCCCACCTTGCAGTTCTTCCACCAGTACTTGTTTTTTAGCTTGGCTGCGCAGCTTTCAAACTGGGAGGCTCCAGCTTGGAGAGCGTCCGCTCTGTCATCCAGCTCTGAAAGCTTCTGGTCCCTTTCCAAAACCTTGTCCACATTCACCCGCATGATATCCACCACCTAGACCAATCCAGCAAGGATGAGAGAGCATTTTTTTTTTTTTGGGGGGGGGGGGAGGTAGTAAAGGAGGAAAATAGATGGGAATGTCGTTTTCGTAAGTGGTAATTCTTCTGCAGTTTGTTGCTCATGCATATTTTACATCACTGACTTTCTACACAGAATGCATTCTGACCCAGAAGCTCAGAACAGCTCACCTCTTCCACTTGGGCCTGAGTCTGCTGTAGCCTGCGGTTGCTGCTGGTATTGGGAGGGCCAGGAGGTGCGCCAGCTGGGGCTCCATCTGCGCCAGGGGCACCTGGAGCTCCAGGAGCTCCAGCTGGTGGGGCAGCATCTGGGGCAGACCTGACCAAGCACAACAATGAGAGTTTTGTGAGAGAAAGAATTGGATGAAGTCAGAACATTTCACATTCAACAATGGATAGATTTTTATAAAAATCTGAAAAGAAACTTGAAATATGCTGAGAAGGAAAAATGCCCTGTCTAAAGGCTTGTAAGAGTCAAGAGTGTAATTTGCAGGAAGGGAACCTGCAAATAGCAAACGTAGGCAGAGATGTTAGCAAGAAATGATGAACTAATGGGTCAGTGAGAAAGGGGCGCATAAGAGAGAGTGGGGGAGAGGTTTTAAAAAAAGCTATGTAGGCCACAGGATGGCGGTGGATGAGTAAAGAGAGAGAACATTTTGGGGAGGAAGAAAAAGAGAAGGCAGATGTTGCTCATGATGGATTACAGAGAGATGGGTGGAAGTGAAAAGAAAAGGTGAGGCAGAACTGAGGAAACGGTTAATCCAGCAGGAGGGGAGAGGAAGGAGAATTAAACCTGAGCAAAAAACCTCTGCAGAGGCAGCTGCCAGTTTAATATATGATAAACTAACTCCTGCAGGATGAAAATTTACAATATTTTTAAGAGAAATTCTGCATTAAGGAAGCTACTGATAACCCAGTTTCCTTTAAAAATTCACGTTTTACAGCATTAAACAGATGATGACCCCCAAGTCCCACAAAAACCTTCTAACTCATCCAGCACCACAAAACACGCTGCTTTCTATTAAATCTGACACAAAAACATCCAAAACAACTCATTCAGCCCCGTCTCGGGCTTTGCATGAGACAGAAGTCAACCTCTGAATACATAATTCAGCGAAGCAGTGATGGAATATTTTTCGCTTGCGTCAGCAAAAACCCTTCAAGCTGAAAGTAAATCATCTCACTTCGGACCGCCAGTGGAAGAAAATAAAGAAATGAACACGTTTCAATGTGGGTTCTTCCGCCACCACATATTAGATATCTGATTTTGTTTTTTGTTTTTTTTCTTTTCATTTTTTTAAGAGCGCAATGGAAAAGCCGCATTAATACTCACATCTTCTATGCAGCTGTTTGAACTGACTCACGGGCAGCGGAGGAGGGGTGACTGGCTGTGAGGCAGGAGGGTCTGAAGTACAAAGCGAGAGAGAAAAAACCCCCAAAAAGACAGAAGAGACGAAAAAGCGGAGGCACGTGTGCAAAGGAAAGTCCAGATGCTTAATTAGTAAACAGACTGAAGTGGCGCACTGACAGTAAACTGAGGCGGAGGCTCTTGGCGCAGTGGAGCCGATCTTCTAGCGATGCTTTTATACTGCAAGCCGTCACCAAAAGTACTGCAATACCGAGACACGTATACAGGTCGGGTGATAATTCACTGTGTGACCAGATTAGTGGGCAGGGAATGAAAAAGGAGCGGTGCCAGCTCAGGAAGGAAGTACTTCCAAATTATAATCCATGCAAAAGAAATCCACGGATGTTTGTATTCTTGCAGAGCTGCATCCGGCTCCTCCAAGTGATGCTCCCCTCCTAGATCCTGAGACGCAGCACTGATTGGCTGGTTGTTGAGTTGCCTCTTCTGAAAGCTACTGACAGAATACCTGCGATTGAAATAAAATAATAATAATAACAACAATAAAGGGGGAAAGTGCAGTCACGGGAAATCTGTTGTCTCTGATTGCCTCCTTCACTCTCTCTCTCACTGCGCGCTGTATGCGAGGTACGCGAGTTTTGTCCGTGCAAAGTGGCTCTGTGGGCAACTGCAATAATGCGTCTCTGCTCCTGCCTTCACCACTTGGACTCATAACGACAGTGCGGCACCCCCTCCCCTCCCTCCCTCTCTCTCCCCTCACACTTTGCAGTACTGCAGCTCTGTGTCGGATAGGGCGGCGGGACGACACTGCGGTACCGTGAATGCCTACAGAGTGTTGACTCGACTGTTTCCCCCCTAGCCTGGGATTCTCCCAGCTCCCTCCTCTTTCTGATCCTGTATCCCATTTCCCTTTGCAACGGCTTTCGTTTGAAAACTAATGGAGTCCTACATCTGAGCCTACCTCTACTATGCTTATATTTTGAATCAAATCTTATGCATATTAAAGTGAGCGGAGTTAGAAAAAGCCTCACGGGAAATAAAAAAGGTCAGTAGAGCAATGAAGTGAAACATATTAGAATGTGACGCTCTTCAGATGTTAAAAAGAAAATTACAGTTAAGCAGTATGTCCAAAAGGTCTTGTTTAGGATGTCACATTTAGTCTCAATGAGACTAAATGTGACCTTTTCAAGGTTCCTTACAATAACTTGCATTTGTCTGAGCTGCAAGAACAGCTTTGAAGAGTTTATTCAAAATTTGATGACGTATATGGAGAAAAATTAAGAAGTAATCTGTTTTGCAAATACATTTGCTTTTTGTCCCATGACACTATGGAGACAGATGTTTTTTTGCACACTGGGGAAGTGCTTTCCCTGTTTTAACACAAGTGCCCGCATGAGGAACTTCACCTGCACTGAGCCTCCACCTCCACCCTATCAAACACCCTGGGAGTGAACTGGAGTGTGGGAAAAAGCCTTCTTATGGTTGAACACCAATGAGCGAGCTCAGCAGTGCTCTGGAGTAGGAGAAAATTGCTGCATGCAGAGTCCACTGTCTCACTGAAACTCTTCTCAGACAATGGAGTCCCATTAGCCTTGAAATGGTAGATCATGTGCATTATGTTTAGGCATTTCTATTGTTTCAGACATAACATTAAAACCATCTGCCTAATATTTTGATCCTAAAAAACGAACAAACAAAAAAACACCAACCCCACAGAAACTCTGAGGCTGTCCTTTGGCTTCTGTGAAACCTGTATTGGATTAGCTTGGGGGAGCAAGTTTGCAGAGCACACTAACACTTCTATTGTAGAGGACCTTGGGTACAAGCTTGGTTTCTAACAATGTAATACCTTCGATCGCACATGCCAAAGTAACATCATAGTACAATCAGGACCCAAACTTACCCATCAGCTTACTGCGATAACGAGATGATCAACAGGCGAGGCAAATGTATTCACACAGCACAAAGACTACAGTCATTCAAGGTCCTTTACAAGGTGAAACTATTACTCACTTCACTTGATAAAAGTTAAAGCTCTGAAAGTTTCTCAGACCTCAAACTAACTCAAGAAACCCTCCAAATGATTTTTGTATTAAACGTCTGAATTTATCAGTTACTTCAACAGGTCATTTCATCCTAAGCTTTTTCTGACTTTTGCACTAGAGCCTATTTTCACGAAGTAATCCCATGATATCATTTTTAATTACAGACTGACTAGTTCAGCTTTATCTGAATGTTCGTTGGGTCTCGAGGAATAAAAAGCCACAAATTCCAGTCCATTTATAATTTATTTTCAGGTTTTAGTAGCATTTATTTTGAATCAGTTACTGATAAGAAATGAATAATGCACATTCAGTCTGAAACACACAATAACCTAGAAAAATGGAAACAGAGCACAGTGACAGCATGAAATCACACCAACAGACTGACACAGTCCTTCTTGGCTGCTCTGCACTTTGTTCAGCATTAGCGATGTTTGCCAGTGCGGTTGAAGCGTCTATAGAGGAAGCGTATCCTCTTTTCCAAGTTGTGCCTGTCCTGAGTCATCATTCTGTCTCCCACCATCTTCTTTTTTCTAATTGCCCGCTGCAGTTCATTACCTTTGAAAGCTTTCAGCCAGCAGGGGGCAACAATTAGGTCTTTAGGATGAGCTTTAAAGTCCCCTGTAGAAAGAGCACGAAGAGAGAGAGACAGTTTATGTGAAAGAAAAAAAAAAAAGTGTGCTGTGGGAGAGGCAAAACTGGTCAAATGAACAGCAAAGCAAGGCACCATATCAGATTAAATGTCGGATCATCATAGATTTGTTCACCTACGCTCATACCCAGCTTATCTTATCACACCATCTCCTGCCAATTTACTGTGCGGATGTTGAGAATACTGTAAGACTGTATGCGCACACACACACACACAGTCAGCCCTTAAGACAAGTGAGGTTACTCATTATGACTTAGAAACAGCAAACTAACCATCCAACAGTTGTACAGTACATCCTCTTAATTTTCTTGGATGCTGAGGATACTCACCCAAGATTCCTATGTTATCATAAACTCCATACATGCTCCTCTTCTCAGTCCATCTGTCCACCTTTTTCGGCTGAGGGATGGCGTGCATCCTGATCTGACAGCATGTACCTGAAAACAGCACACAGTAGCACAAAGTGCTTGTTCACATTTGGGGAAAATAGTCTATTTTGTTCTCTAAACAATTTGCAGATTACTCGATGTGCTCATTCACATTAAATGATTCAAATCAAAGGTATCAAATACAAAAGCTAATGTACACTTTATGCACTATGTTGTTCACAGACTCAATGAATCAGCATATATATGGCTCCATACATACAGTACAAATAAACACATAACATTTCTTCTACTCCCAGACAATTAAATTATTTGAAACTATTTAACATCCAGGTTACTAGAAAATTATAAGAATAACTTTACCAGGTAGCCATATTGGAACAGATGTTTACTAATGACTCAATAGATACCAGAGAAGCTTTTTAAACACACTCATGGGAAAAGTGTGATTCATGCACCGCAGGTCCCGGGTGGTTTGAGTTTGTTCTGTTTCTTGTTGAGGAAAATATAACTGTTGTTCTTGACAGCAGAGGTCGCTCACGACTTCAATTTCTATGTGAACCTAATTTTTTGTCTTGTTTATTTGGTAACGTGTAATTGCTTAGAGCTTTAAAAAGGTCGTGTTCATATCGTGCTGGTCTGACTTGTGGACGACATTTAAATGATTCGAACATGCGTGACTTTATTTGAACAAATAAAACGAGGCAGTGCAAAGAGTAAGCAGGTCATCTTTTTGGAGTCCACATAAATGTTTCTACACAAAATATCAGATGCGACAAATGCTCATATAAAAACATGTTGGAATGTGGAATGTTCAGTGAAGCAGGCAGATAGTACGGTAAAAGGAATATCTGCTCCATCTCATCTTTAAGTTATCTTAATTATATCCTACAAGTGTCCAACTGTTCCCGGTGAACATTTCATCATGATATTGAATGGAATATGCTAACACACCATGTGTTTGTCGGGCAGTGTAGGCCCATTTCTACTGAGCTGAGAGCGACTAAAAAGTGAGAATGGAGGGAATGATTCATGAATATCCATCACAGTAAGCATCAGCATCATAGCTTCAATGTCCTCTTTCTCACAACTGATGATGATGTTGATGATCATGAGAGGTAGTGCCGTTAACTAGAGGTTGTAAACACAACTAACTGGCAGTGACGGAGTGATGACAGGGTGGCTTGGGGTTGCAGTTTTGCCGCCTCAGCTTCAAAGAAACAACTCAGGCTTCTGTAAATGACACTGATGATATTTCTGAACAACAAACACTCGGTGTGGAGAAAATGTTTTTTTATATATAGATATAGCTAGATATGCAGTTTTGGACTATTGGACAATTTCTGGTCTTTTTTAATTTTATGCTAACTGTGCATACTTTTTACCTTACAGTGGCAAATATTACACTAACAGTGTAAAGAGTGACATAAAATCCACAGTCTGTGCACTACTCTCAAAAACAGTGCTTAAATGAGGCCAGCCTACATTAAAACTACCCTGCATTTGGAGAAAAATATATAAAGAAAAATCTGTCAAACTTATAACTCTTAAAATGCCTTAAAATAAAAAAAAAATAAATAAATACAATAAAAGTTCAATTCATGTCACCATAATTTAACCCAAACAACAGAAATGCCTCCCCCTTTTAACCCCTACTCCCATTTTTTTGGGTGAAATTACAGTGAAATTCCCACTCAAATCAAATTTAGAGAGGTTATGCACTGACTGGACAAAAATCCCCTTTTTCTGATTTATCAAGCTATCTTAACTCTTTCCCCCACACCTGTATGTGTTTTGAATCCCATATATACGCACATAAAATAAAAGCTTAAGTTTAACAACCATTAAAATGTGTTCCAGGTTTTTCTAATGAATAGCCCTAGTAATACCACGTAGGAAGAGATTAACCCCACTAACTTCTGATGGACATCTAGTCATTTTGTTCAGGAAGTTCCCTATATGACAGAGGTCAGTAATTTGCACCAGAGGTACACTTCAACTGTGAGAGACAGAATGTGAAAAAAAATCCATGAATCCACATGGTAGGATTTGTAAAGAATTTATTCGTAAATCAGGGTGGAAAATAAGTATTTGGTCAATAACAAAAATACAACTCAATACTTTGTAACATAACCTTTGTTGGCAATAACAGAGGTCAAACGTTTACTATAGGTCTTTACCAGGTTTGCACACACAGTAGCTGGTATTTTGGCCCATTCCTCCATGCAGATCTTCTCGAGAGCAGTGATGTTTTGGGGCTGTCGCCGAGCAACACGGACTTTCAACTCCCGCCACAGATTTTCTATGGGGTTGAGGTCTGGAGACTGGCTAGGCCACTCCAGGACTTTCAAATGCTTCTTACGGAGCCACTCCTTTGTTGCCCGGGCGGTGTGTTTTGGATCATTGTCATGTTGGAAGACCCAGCCTCGTTTCATCTTCAAAGTTCTCACTGATGGAAGGAGGTTTTGGCTCAAAATCTCACGATACATGGCCCCATTCATTCTGTCCTTAACACGGATCAGTCGTCCTGTCCCCTTGGCAGAAAAACAGCCCCATAGCATGATGTTTCCACCCCCATGCTTCACAGTAGGTATGGTGTTCTTGGGATGCAACTCAGTATTCTTCTTCCTCCAAACACGACGAGTTG